AGAGAGAGAGAGAGAGAGAAGAGAGTACGTTACGTTCGTAGGTAGTAGTGGGTGGGTGGGTGGGTGTGTGTGTGTGTTAGAGAGAGAGAGAGAGAGATGGATGGAGGTGTCTTACCTTCGAGGACTTCGCAAGCTACAAATGTGAGAAGTGCTGAAGAGACATATTGTACAACAGTGTAGGGGTTTATGACATGGAAGCTGAAAACTATACCCACCAATACAAGAAATTCTGATGCAAGCAGAATTTGCCTGAAAAATAAATCCATCAAGAAAACTGTATAAGACACCTGCAGATTAGAAAGCACTAAAATGGCAATAATCAATAAAACTGGCATTGAATGCACGAGCCTGTTCTCATCAGTTGCAACCTAAACAACTGACAAAATATATCCATATACTTATTAATATCCAATGAAATATCTGAAAACTTATTTATGATTATGATATCTATTGGTATCCATATACTTATTAATATCCGATGAAATATCTGAGAACTTATATTTGATTATGCATATCTATTGGCAATTTAATAAGGGACTTTAGGGCAAGTCTGGACGGACCACTTGTTCTTGAGTAAGTGCCCTTGTCAAGTTCCCTTAATCAAGAACCAAGGAAAAATATGTTTTCTTTAGTAAATTTGTCTGTGAATTTCAGCTCTCAGCAGCATTTTTTCAAATACACAGGGATCAGAAATGAGGCTTTTTATTGCACAGGTTGGAGTCCCTATGATTGTTTAATGATTAGAGTAAATACTTCTACTCATGATTAGTGGCCTTAAGGCATATCATTTGTTGACGACCAAATTTTTCCAAGTAGAGTAGCTTAGAGGCAACGACCCGTACTTCCTTTATTTCTTATTTTTTGTATTTTTTTATTGTTAAAGAAACATCACTTATTTAAGTATGAATGTCAAGTATATTCCATGTACCGCAAGATGCGCAAATGAACAGGTACTCCATATCAATAATTGACGCCCTCATTTCACTGTATTAAAATTTGAAGTACATAACTTTCTAGGAATTGCCTGGAAATGCCATCTCTCATTAAAGTATCCACTGCTTCATCGAACTCCCTCCGAGAGTGATGGAAGGAGATCCTCAAATTGTCAATAATTTCAAAAACTTCTTCAAAAATGTTTGCTAGGCACCATGCCCGTTCCACCCTTCTATTGCACCAAAAAAAGTTTAGGATAGGCTACCGTTAGGAATTAAATCCTTTTTTCTTTCAGATTCGTCCTTGTGGTGGTTGAGATTATCAACAGGCAAAATTTTAGATCCAAAATCCATCTTTAAGATGAATTTTGTTAGTGGCACCGCATTTGACTAGGTATGTCAGCTGACATGCAACAACCATAGCTATTATAGATACCCGAGATGCTAATGGTGAACATATGAAGGACCTATGGAAATCACTGTTCAAATACTTGATCATGACACTCAGGACTCACCCCAGTCAACTCGGCTTAGACACAAATTCTAGTGACTTATCTGAGAACCAAATCCTAAGATATTTAGGTAAAAATTCGGCCACAAGTCCCAATCTGGAATTAAAACTTTGATACAAAACATCATTTTATAACTATGAATAGCTGTCTGAGATAAGATGAGGCAGTGTAATCTAGTTCATCTAAAGTTTCAGTTATTCCAGTAAGATTTGAAACTCCAGCACGTAATCAGATAAATAGTGCGCGTTTACTTTTATGCATGCTATGGTTTTGTGCACTTCAGCTCTAAGTCTGTGGTCAATGTAGGCATAGATCTTATATATCTGCCCCACCTAGATTAATTACTTCTACCTTATGTCAAACATAACAATAGGTTAGTTCAAACCACTACAGTGCAGAAATAGAGAACCAGCTCAGTGCATTCCTGAAGTCGAAAAGCATTAACCAATACAGAGATGATTTTAAATAACAATCGATTCATAAGCTCAGATAATCAAAATGCATTGGTTATTATAAAAGAATCTAAGAAGACTTGCTAAGCTCTCACTCGATATCCCCAAATCATATTTGCATGTGTCTCATTTTTGTACTCATAACAATCATCATAGCTAGGAATTGGGCTTGGGCTTGAGTGCTTAGCAGTTGGCGCCAAGCAATGCTACATCTCAAGTTCGATTCCTACCACAGAACTACCCAAACAAGAAAAAAACATCATAGCTATTAATAAGGGTATTACCCTTAATAACAATCAATTCATAAGGTCAGACAATCAAAATGCATTGATTATTATAAAAGAAGCTAAGAAGACTTGCTAAGCTCTCACTCAATCTCCCCAAATCATATTTGCATATTTGTGTCATTTTTTACTCATAACAATCATCACAGCTAGGAATTGGGCTTGGGCTTGGGCTTGAGTGGTTAGCAGTGATGTCAAGCAATGCTATATGTCAAGTTCGATTCCTACCATTGAATTATCTAAAAAAAAAACAACAATCATCATAGCTATTAATAAGGGTATAGCCCTTGATAGAGCGCAACGGCGGAACATGATTTGTATAGTGGATCCCAAATAGTTGGGATAAGGCTCGGATGATGATGACCAATCATGATAGCTATGAATGAGCAATACATATTTGGAACACATGCAGAAAATAGAACTTTGGGCCAAGTAACGTATAATTTTACCTGTCCTCAAACATGTTGCTAATATAGTTTCCAACTACAGCGTTTACTGGCAAAACTGTACAGCCGAGACATGCAAGAAAAATTGACACTGCACCAGTCGACCAACGAAAGTAGTACGCCGTTATGACACTTGATTCAGAGAGCAATATCTCCATCGCATATTTGAGCATGAAATAAATCAATAGTTGAACCTGAAAGAATAACATAGTCCAAAAATGAGGACCAGTATCCATGTTATTGAACAAAACCAATAGTAGTTTAGGCTGATCCATGTTATTGAACAAAATCAAAAGTAGTATAGGCCTCTTAACTAACATAAATGAACTGAAAAATTTTAGAATTGGTTTCTCTATTTTTTGGAATATTTCTTTTGGAATGGTCCAACTGGTTGGACTGGTTTGGACCAGAAAACCCCAAACCAGTTAGACAACAAGTCCAGTATCTATGACTAACATTGAGAACCATACTCTTGTAATAGATTAGGATGAGAAACAAGGTATGCTACTACCTTCAGGATTTTCTTGGTAACCTTGGCCAGCATTTTTTACAAGAGGAATTCAGTACTTTCCCCAATGTACTAAACTAAATCCTTATGAAATACAAGAATGGTTTTCTAAGGAATAATACATTAAAATAGAGAAATTAGGAGAAATGCCAAATTCCTAGAGTCAAAACTTACCTTTTTGGTAAGGATGCATATTACCTTTAACATTTTCAAGAAATATTATTCCAACCCTTAACACAATTCGTAACCCAACCATAATTAGGGATTTTATGTAGTTATATTTATTAAATTTGGGTGCTTTGTTGAATGAAGAACACATATGGTTGCTAGAAATCAGTTGATTAAGACCAAGCCATTTACCAAAAGGTTGGCAAGAAGGGGACCAAAGGAGAAAACACTATTGCATTATGGAAATTGCATTACGGAAAAAGTCTATATAAAGCCGAGGCTCTAAACAATCAAATTAGAGCCCACCTCAAAAAGTTCACTAGAAGAGGTTGTTTTGATGCCCAAATATCCTCAAATTGATCATCTCGACATCATGATGTATGGAAATAAGAAAAAAATGGATTTCAAGTTTTGGAAATAGTGCATCTTGTAACGCATTTTTGAACCATCAATTTTCAAGATTTTCAAGTTTTCATAGATATGCTTGATCTACAGTATTGTTTAAGATTAAATTTTATAATTAAAGATGAAAATATATTTCAAGGCTATCACAGATTTCCAGTATTGAAACCATATTTCTCGACACTATTTGAAGGTGCGCTTTATTTTGATTGTTTAGAGCCTCGGCTCTATACAAACTGCACCCTTGCATTATTGGCAAAAAGAATCTAGTTGATTGAGAGGATAGCTAAGACCTTCACTGATTGTGTAAGCAGTCTATATGCTGACATAATTGAGGTTACTGGCTTGTGTGATTCTTCTGAAGCTTCCTCACTACCGTCTACATCTTGGTCTCCATCTTCATCTTGCAATTTTTGTTCGATGGATGAGCTTAAAAGAAGAGGTTGAGAAAGACCATCTTCTAGCCTAGTCATTCGTAACAGATCCTATCACCCAACAGATCAATCCATTAATGCATGAGATCAACAACTTTATACACATATTTTCCACATTATAATTTCACAGTATGTCCCACATCTATCAATAAAATATTTTGTTAAGAGTATTTTCTGGAATTCAGTAGAATGTTAAGATAAAAGAGATTAATTAATGGAAACAACAGAGCATTAGCTAAGTCCATATGATCTTCCTAAAAAGTGAAAAGCAAAAAAATTTGACAAATCAAAACAACCTAAAATACCATCGTATCTTTTCTTTATTATTAAAAAAATATAGGTTTTGACAATGGAATTGAAAACTCAACAGGAAAATGGCATACCATTATCAGTATTTGCTTCCTGCTCTGTGTGTTCCTGATCTGTGTCACGAATGGGCTCCTTGAATGACACCCATACCCATATCAAATAGACAAACCATAAAAATGCCATCACCCATCCTGGCAAAGTGTCCTCATTGATAGTGAGTTTGTAAATTTTGAAGTTAGTTTGAAGAACTCCTGCAAGGGCAGGACCGACTGCCATCCCGAGAGCACTGGCACTCACAAATGCTGCAGAAGCTTGCATTCGAGTTTTTGCTGGCACACAATCACTAATATAACGGCGATTAACGGCTCTTGCAGAGCCCAAACTGCAATACGCCCACAGAATTGTATCAGCACATAAAGTCACACACTGAGTATAATTATCTTATTTGTAAAAAATAATATTATTTTTCATTTTGCAAGTTACTGCCCACCTAGCACTTTCAGGACCCATTAGCCCCAGATCACCTAGGGCAACCTAGTACTTTTAATTGATCGTTAAATGCATGGTTCAATCAACCTATCAATGATATGGAACAAGGCAAGTCAATTTGTTCTTCATTGCTCAAGTGTGGGATGATCAAAGGCCCCTAAGATGTTATCCATCCACATGATGTTCTAGCTGCCTTGCACAAGCATGATCTAGTGTGGTGGTGTTTTTATAGCTGCACTTAAGGCGACTCAATTTTTTCACTTTAATTAGTTTTCGCATGTGAACTGAATCGTCAGCCTAGAGGGAAACTGGTGTGCGTAGACGAAGTTCAACCATTCACACCAAGATGTTAAAAAGGAATCATCTATTACAACCAAAAGATGGTTTACGGTATTAGTGATAGAAACATGGTGGCCTCTTTCATTTTCCAGAAAAAAGGGTAGAAGACTCCTTTCAATGAACTAAATAAGGCAACTTGTAGTCAACATTCTAGATTCTCTAACAATACAATCTCCAGCATGTATGATCCAGAGTTCCTTGACAGAAATAACCCAACATATTAACACAATTTGACACTTAAGGTAACAGGTTATTGGCATTCTCTTCTGAATTATGTCTCTCAATCATTGACTCACAATAACTATAAAGAGTACAGTCTCTATCGAGAATCTCCTTTAATCTAACACATGAGAGATGTTAAACAGCCTATTAAGATGAGAAACGAAATAGAAAACAGAATAAGTGAGTTGTATGGAATATCTTACCCACAAAACAAACGTCCAATCAGAAGAACCGTTAATGAATCAAGATCATATGCCAATGCGTACAATGTATTGCCGATGAGAAGAACGATGCTGCTAAATATCAGCGGCCTGAAGTATGACTTATTTGACCATGCGCTAAAATAAACTGAAGAGAACACCTGAGCAACAGCCATCGACCCAATTACAATACCACAAACAGTTGCGGCAGCTCCGAGGCTGATTGAGTAGTTGTCAGCTGTTGGGACAATGATATATGTATTAACCATATAAAGGAAAGTGTTCACCAAGTTAAGAACAAGAGACATAAAATGGTAACTTTCTTCAGCTGCCTGATCCTCAGATGGTGTTGCAGGCAACTCTTCTTGAACAATAAGTGCATGGTGTCCTAAGAAATGAAGAAAGTTTGTTGAGTGTGTCAACCTATCTACAGCAGCTTTTATTGAATCAATAACAGGATCCTGCACCCACATTTGAATTTGCTCAATGAGAGAACCCCACTTCTTCAAAATAAGAAACAAGAAAGAGAACTTTGGTTCTTCAAATCAGAACAAGATAGACAAGGACATTCTCACAATATTACGCACAAAGGAGGTGAATATAAACTGAATTTCAAACCTTAATCGTCGCAGCAGGCTGATCATAAATAGATAAGTAGCTCCCTTGGCGATCCTGAAGATCTGCAAGATTACGTGACAATGCACCCACAACAGCTCCAATACCCTGTACAACCAGCGCTAAATCGAATCACTTTACAGTACCATGCCTGTTACATTTCAAGAAATATAGCTACTTTAACATCTACTTTTTGCTTTTCTAGAGTTATATACATCACTGACAAGTTCACAACAATGCCAAAACATATTCAGATAACGCATGGCATGCAAAACTCCTCTTCAAGATAGGAAGAGGGTAAAAGAGAATATAGCTTAGAACAGCGACGAGATTAAAGGTTCTACATAATAGATCATCAAGAGTTGGAGACATTACCACATGCTTGAACACTTGTTGTAGCTGTGAATATGGATGATCTGAACGAGTTGTCACGTAGTAATCAGTGAATCTATAACCGAAGCGTTTATCGAATTTCTTCAATATTTTCCTCAAACCAATTGCATTGATTTCTACAAAGTATAGAAGCTTGAGAAGATCTTTGCCTACTTCTCTGTATGCTTCACGCAATTCACACACCTGAGCAATATCTGGTTCTTGCAACAATTTCTCGCGCCATTCTCCTAATTTTTCAATCCTGCTTGCAATAAGCCCTTGTTGCTCCAACAAGAACAGAACAATCTTCTCAATCTGATATGACCAACAAGAAGAAAAACACATCTTCCATGAATAGAGTGAACTTCAAATGATAAAATTGAAAGATCACCTTCATCCATACATTTAATACGCCAATTAGAATCCTTTCAAAACTGGATTTAAACCAATTGCATTACCAAAGTCCATGCATATTCATCAGATCACTTAGGCATATTATAACCACTATGATACTATTAAGTCAAGTAAATGGTCAAAATCTGCATAAGAACAGAGTGATTAAAGTACATACTCAGGCTCAGACTTGCTAGGGTCCCAACTCCCAAGCCCAAGTCACCAGGTTGGACTTGGCTGAGGCAGAATAAGACTAGGCTGGCACTGTGAAAATTTAAAAAGAAATACCAAAATAATGTGAGACTCGGGTGAGTCCCTGGTTCCTTGCTTGGGACTGATCTTTTGAAAAACTGGAAATTGAGAATGATTATCAAAATTCAGACAGAGATAAGTGCTCCGAGAATGCTTAGGAATCCCAACTAAATGTTATCCCTCATGAACAAATTTATTAAGAGAAGTAAACTTTGAGCATCAAGTTTGCATAGGAAAGCATGATAGAGGTAACTACAGTTGAATATTCAAATCTAGAAAAAAGGCATTGAAACTGCAACAAATTTTAAATAAGCAGTACAGCTTGTTGCATAAATAATTACATTAAGCAAGAATTTGCTTTCACTAACCTGGTAATCCAGCATTCTTGAGAACTCTTTGAGTACATGGCGACGGTTTTCTGCCCCTGCTTGAATCTGTTGAGTAAACTGTTTGACCTTCTTCTTCATTAATTTGTAATTGATGTAGTACCTAAAAAAACCCAATTTGCATATCCATAGTTAGATACTCACTAAATAGTAATATATTTTCAGCAGTAAGCTGTTAAAAAATTGGAATAAAATGAACATTTAACATTTAAATCAGTCCATTCCAGCTGAGTCTGTGTAGATCATATGAGATTGAGGGGCAAAAAGTAGATCGAGGATTGAAGGTCCCATATGATAGTGCAACAACAATTTATCGGATAAAAAATGATCTTTAGGATAAAACAAAGTTAATTTGGTTGGCATTTCTTTGTAAAAGAAAGAAAACAAAAACTAATTTGAAATAAGATTAAATGGCCACTGCAAACCTCTTTTGGCTTCAAAGTCATTCATAGAAGCTTGCAATTCAGAGTAACAAATTCTATATTACTTTCAAGCAACACATACAATGACGATGAAAAGGGAACAGCTTCCATTCTAGTGCAATAACAATAGTGATGCATTAGATAAAATTCCATCTTCTTTTGCAACACTAGAACCAATTAGCCGAAACAAGCTTCTTCTAGCATGGATTTCTAATGCATATATTATTTATTCTTTGAAGCTAGACTTTCTAACAAAAACCAATAGACACGTTCAAAACTTCTAGCCCTCTTAAAGTTAAAGAAAATGGGAGGACTAGTGACTCAGCAATTAAAATTCAATTCATACAATAAGAGAGAACAAAACTCACCTCTGCCATTCTGGATATTGTCGTTCCTTTAATTTCTTCCCAAATGCAACCATCTTACAGATCAATGAACTGAGGCTTTCGAAAAAGAAAAATTATAGCACTGAAAAGAAGAAAAAAAAAATTTGTTCAAATAATCATGACAAAAACAACGCATAACAGCTAGTAGCGTTAATTAATATATTGTGCACCAAAAAATCAAAGAAATACTCAACTGTAATACAAATGGATGAAACAAATTACATATGCATTTCAAATGCATTTTGACATGTCATATGCACATATGCATACATGCGTATGCAATACATATGAACATGTATGTTTCTATAGGAAAACATATGTTTCTATAGGAAAACATAGGCACACAAAAAAGTACTCATGCACATACATGCATATATCTATTTACATTCACATGAGTGTCTATGGTTTTTGGCTGGTGTCGACATACACCAAGCACAAGACACTCATGTCTGGCACAATAGAAAGTTAAAAACTTTTGGTTAATATTCTTCATTTAGATCTCAATCATCAAAATTATTTTAGGTCACCTTCAAAAAGTCCAATTTTAGGGTTGCTCTTTTTGACACTCATATCCATGTCAAATGTATTCCTGACACTCATATCCGTGTCAAATGTATTCCTCACCCGGCTCAGCTTCGTAACATAGGCAAAAATGAAAAGTAAAAGAGAAGATAGTGAGTTTCTTTCCAAAACTACGACCATCATGGAGTAAGGTATGATTAGGATTCATTTCTCATTTCTCATTCGTCCGCCTGCATGTTTTCCATTTCTCCATGAATTCTCCATTTCTCAGTTGAATTTCAGCACAAAAAGTAATTCATTTCCACGTAAATGATCTAGAAAACGAGCAGAGAAATTTAAGGGGGAGGGAAGAGAAGAGCTAAAGATAAAACTTTCGGACAAATTTTATGATAAACTTCGACAATTCATGAAACCAAGTAAAACTATACACCAACAAATCAATCCAAAGACTTCACTCACCAACCACAGGCGTTACCTCCTTGAGCTCTGAATCATTGAATGCTCCAAGCTTAGATGACCATCAACAAACGTCTCAATTAAGGAGGCAAAAAACTGAAACCAAAAAAAAAACTCATTTCAGAGATCAAACAAACATTATTCGTCTCGAACAGCAAACAAATCACACAACAAAACACAATAAAAATAAATAACAAAATAATAAAAAATGCCAGCCTATTAAGCTCGCTAAAACTCATCATTTTCTCCATTCCTGAGTTCAAAAACACACCTGAAACCCTAATTTTTTAACCCCCTAAGGTTTGCAGGTTCTCAAACGAGAATCACGCCTGGAGAATGTATGAGGATTTGAGCTCAAATGGCGAAGAGATTCAGACAAAAAGGCCTGGATCAAAGCCTGTTTTTTAAATAGTTAACAAGAAGGATCTCCATATCTATATATATATAATTCCTGGAGATATAATTATTATGAATTAATGATATAAGCCCGGGAAATATGATAATTATGAATTAATGATTTCACCGAAAATATAAATACATATTCGAATTTAGATTTAAGAATATACCCCGTTTTAACAAAAAAGCTTTTATTTAAAGAGAAATATTCAAAATATTTTTTTTTTGGAGAAATACTCAGATCAATAGAAAGTGCTCCCTAGGGATCAAACTGTACACTGCTCTTTAGGCCGAATGGGACAAACTAATGCATAGGAATTTTCTTAGATATAAAATTTTAGGATCCACTCTAGAGTCTTCTATGAGCATTTTCAGCAGGAAGAGAATTAGATTTTGAGTTTTTAAATGCTTAAATATGAAATTTGGATAATCTTTATTCAATATTGGGGAATTATTCTCTCTAGGAGCATATGAAATTTATAGCTCTAAAATTGATGTAGATCGAGTAGATCCATAATTATTTAATTTTTAAAAATAGACGGTCTAGATGATGTGTTGCAAAATACAGTATTTTGATACTCGAAATAGTTTCTCATGACCATTTGAGACAATCAATTACAAGGATCTTTCGCATCAAAACAACCATCTTAAAATGTTTTTTTGAAGTGAACTTTAGTACTACATATACAAACTTTTCCAAAAAAGTATCTAGTTTTTACCTGAGGGAGCAAATGGACTATATACTCCTGCGGGGGCGCTTTACCTTTTGTCATGTTAGTAACACTTTTCTCACCGATAAAAAGAGAAATTACTTTCCCGGGGAATTTACTGAGGGTGTAAATGGACGGCCACGATTAAGAATCGTTCTTGGTCTCAGCGGGGAACTATATCGGACCGTCAAAGTGATGATCAAGCGGACTCATGGATGACACGTGTGAGACGATAGAAAGAATCCGTAGGTTTTGTCGGACCCACATGCCAAAAGCTGACGTGTCGTGCCAGGAAACTTTGCTAATATTTCCTCGAGTAAAATCTGACAAAAGCCTATTTTTGGGGGGCAGTTATCTATTTTTTAGTAAATTATTTTGCAAAATTTCAGCTCTTTTAAGGCCATGACCCTCCAAAGTTCGGGATATCTCAAAATTTCATTGAAATTTCGGATCCGAAATAATTATGTGTAAATGATTGAGGGAAAGGCCACGTGTCCTTGTAGTGGCTCTTTTCTTGGCAACTCACTATGAATTAAATGAGACCTTGTCGTCATGCCCCCATTATAGCGACAGAAGAGAGAATGTGACCTTGTATTTTAGTGAGGGAAATAAGAGAGAGTGTAACATGGTGCTTTCTTGTATTTTAGTGAAAAAAAAAAGGAGAGAGAGAGAAATTATTTTTTTTCAAATAAAATTATGTTAATATTTATAAGAAAAGCTTATCAAAATATCCATAAGAAACGAACTATTTAACATGGGTGTGGTTTCAAATTTTATCATAATATATAATTTTGATGTTGAATGTTATTAAGATCATCTCAAAATCTATTTTTATATCTAATTATAAAATTTTAAATTTCAAAAATGGTTAAAATCAAGTAGATCTATAAACATATGAAAATCTTGAAAATGGACGGTGTATATAATATGTTGTAAGATGCACTATTTCTGATACTCAAAATATTTTTATTTTTCATAGTCATACATCTCGATGTCGAGATGATCAATCATAGGGTTTTTCAACATTAAAACAACCTTTTTCGATGGATTTTTTAGGTTCATTCGCAGTTCTACATTTTAAAGTTGCAACCTTATATAACTTTTTCCATTTAATATTATTAGATGTATTGCAACTATTCCAATTCAAGATCTTGTGTTTTTTTTTATAGGTACTTATTATAAATGTGTACAATAAGACTATTTATTGTTTATACAAAGAGATCATAATTATCATTGACCGTTAGATATAGCATCAAGTGGTTGGGATATGGGCGGCAATTGATCCAGACCCAAGATGTAGACCTGATCTGGGTCAGGGTATGGGTCCAAAAATTGAACCCGGCAGGTTAGGTTCAGGTTCGGGTTCAAATCTTGGACCCTAATACTATTGGGGTCCTAGGTCCGAGTCTGATCGGGTTGGGGGTGGGTCCAATTGTATTTTTTGGGTCCCAATATATGATATATATATATATATATATTAATTTTTTAGCCTGATCCCACACTATATTTTCTAGTCCAGGTCTAGGTCGTGTGAATTCGGGTCCGGCCGGATGCGACCCGACTCATTTCCACTCTTGGGTTGGGTATGTGTAATTGACTAGGCACAATGTCCAAAATAAAATTTATCAAACGTTATAACGCACTTCGGTCTATTAAATATTACAATCAATAGCTGAGAATTATTATGATCTTTTTGTACTATAAAGTAAATGATCTTTTAGAAATTAGATAAAAAAGGATGTGGTAAGGTGTTAATGTTCATCTCTTATAGATAATTTGATAAATTTCTCAATTCATAGTACCATTAGTTGTAAGCTATACTCGTGCCCTAATTTTTCATTTTTTTATATTATTCAAAAATGCCATTGGTTGTTTGTCAACTAAAACTATTGAGAAATCGGTTCAGAAATTGAAATTGAGAACTGGTGTTTTTGCGAACCACCTTGGATTTCAGAAATTGAAATTGAGAACTGGTTTTTTGTGAACCATCTTGGATTTTGAAATTTTGAACTGGTCTACTTGAATTTTGCATCGGTTAAGAATCCTGGAACTTAAAAATTCCAAACCAATTGATTCACAAATCATCGGTTCGTAAGTGCAACTTCCAAACTGATTTCTCAATACTTTCGGTTTGGATATCAAAAATCCGAACCAATGACATTTTGAAATAAATAAAAAAAGTCGAAAAGGATGACACGAGTCTAGATTACAACATATAGGGGATAGATTTTCAATTAAAAAAAATTGGAGAGCTATTGGCATAAATTTCCCAAGAAAAGAGAGAAATCAAACATTCAAAATAATAATAAACCACATTTTTAAAAAAAAAAAAAAAAAGATAAAGAGGGAATCAAAATGGCCCCACTTAGAAGTCAGATGGGTACGATTAGGAATTATTTAATGTCTTTTCAAAAAGGGGTTGTTGGAACAGTGATTAGAGATCATTCAAGAAAGAATATTCTCACATATTAAGTGTCGTACAGGATTTAGCAAATGCAGCCAGAGCCCTTCTAGAATGCGTACGGGCACTAACAGAGATTTGGAGGAAGCGGTGGCAACTGGTAGGGTCCGCGCTGGGCCGGACCTGGAGTTCTCAGACCCAGACCCGTTTTGACCCGGCTAAATTTGGCCCCGATCCAAAAATAAATAATATATATATATATATATATGAATATTCAAATTTTATATTAAATACATACATGTATTATTTAAATATGAAAAAAAATTATATAAGGTTGCAACTTTAAAATATAGAAATAAAGATGCACCTAAAAAATCCATCCGAAAAAGTTGTTTTAAAATTGAAAAACCCTTTAATTGATCATCAATATATATTAAATATTATTTATATAATAACACTATTCGAATCGGTTCTGGGTCGAGTCCACATAGACCCATACCCGACCTATCGGGTCCAATTATTGGACCTGGGTCCAAACGTCAAGGATCATTGGTCGGGCCCAGATCCATTACGACCCCTATATGGAGGGTACAGATTATGGAAGGAGATTCATGCAAAGCTATTTGATTGATGAGAGATAATTAGAAAGCTTATAAAATATTTGACTAATAATTAAATCAAGATATTTTCAAGCTTAACCAACGAATAGATCAGTAAGGAGTACCTCATAGTTACATTCTTCTAAATTTTTGTAATTTTTTCCCAAACACTTTTACATTTTTTATTAGGTAACGAAAACTTGTAATTCAACATAAGGTATCGGAAGTTATGGATTAACTATCAAAAATTAAAATCAAAACTCTCATTAGTATTGTCTGATTTATTTTCAAAAAGCACCCATAATAAAACACATGATGATGAGTTGGAACGATACAAAGAATGTAAAATGATAAATGATACATTTCTCATAGGTATTTTGATAAATTTCAGCATACTATATATTTACTATCTTAGGTGAAACATTCATTTTATAATATTTCGAGGATCTAAAATTTGGGGTAAGAAGAATGTGATTGGCACGTGATTAAAAAGTATTGGCTATGACATGACAAATATAATTTTCTTTAGTTACAAAAACAAAAAAAGAAGCATATAAAGTACGAACAATGATTATTTATGTTAACTTATAAAAAAAAGGTACTAATACTATGAAGCAATGGTTTAAAAAATGGATCGATGACCCGGATCGGGCTTTCAAAAAACCGATCCGGATCGGCAAATCGGCGATCCGGATCGGGAATCGGGTGAATCGATCATAATAAAGCTTAAAAAAAATTCGAAAAAATTATTAAAATTCATTATAAATATTGTTTTTTAGGAATTCAATAAAAAATGAGGGTACTCCATTAAGAATTTTCATGTTTTTGAATGAATATGCGAATATTGATATGTTCTTTTCCTGCATGAACCGTCATTCAGCATTTAATTTACAGTATTTCGTGCTCATCCCTACACTGTTGCTGTTGGGACTCGATATGTGAATAATATGGCTAGGATAAGATGGCCTCAGAATCATCATCTCTCTCGTTTTCTATTTGAATAATATGGATTAAAAAAATAAATAAATAAATTTTCAAAAAAATCGATCATGGATTAAAAAAAAAATCACAAATTTTCAAAAAATTCTATCATGGATTACAAAAAAAAATTCGATCATGGATTAAACAAAAAAAATCACAAATTTTCAAAAAATTCAATCATGGATTACATAAAATTCGATCATGGATTACATAAAATTCGATCGTGGATTACAAAAAAAAACAAACAAAAAAAACAAACAAAAAAAAACAAAAAATTCAATC